GTTTCCATGTTTTGGAGCACTAGTAGCCTGCACTAGTAATCACGTATTTACGAATCATTGAAAAGTATAAATGTCACGAAGGCTTTTCTTTTAGAGTCTTACCTAAATTATATCATAATACCCGTTAATTCTTAAACCTTACACCAAAGTGTATCGAATTCTATAATCGCTGATTTTTTAACAGCTATCAGCACCAAAAAAGTTTCTTACTTTGGTTGAATTAAGGTCGGCAAAACATTGCCGACCTGGGAGGTTGATAGGTCGGTATTTAATAGGTCGGCATTGCCGAATACCGACCTCGCTTTCTAGGGCTGTTAAATTATATATTTTCTGACGAAAATGACCTACCTGTTCTTCCAGCAGAAGACACCAAACTAGACACAACCAGGGGTTATATTCAGATTAAAATGAACTAAAGAACTTCACTATTTTGAACACGTTATAAACATACAAACATGGCTTCCCAATTGTGTGTTGAATATTGAATAATTCAAACAATGTTGTCATGTGATTATACCGGAAATAATACCCGGAAGTTAATAATATGTTAATTTTTATGATAAATTTAATTCAAAATTGTAGCTATTTCACTAAGAATTGTCGTGACAAAAATTTAATAATTATATTGAATTTCAACAAATTGTATTTTTTGTGCTTTTTTCTACAGTTTGATTACAGAAGATAAATAATTAATAAGTAATAGAACGAATTAAGTCGTACTATTAATGCCATAATCATACTCGTGATTAACAAATCAACCTCCCGCTACGCGGTCGGTTGATTTTGTAATCACTCGTATGATTATGGCATTAATAGCACTCCTATTCGTTCTATTACCATCATTAATTGTACTGCAGTACAATTAATGATTTTCCCACAACAAACAAAATGGCGTAAAGGTATTTTAAACACAAGCGTGAAATGAAATTGCCCTAGAGGAACTAGATGAAAATACGAACAAAAGCACCAAATTTTGCTTTAACATAAGAAGTAAATGAAAATACGGACAAAAGCACCAACGTTTGGTTGAAAATCTGGCAGGACTGGGCTTTGGCGAGAGAATATATGATGTTTATAACATTGAGAAGTATCCAATTTTGTCATGCTAATAATAAACAAGTAATCATGCGATGTTGCTCGTACAATTATGGCTTAATAGTACTCGTGATGTTTGGAAGTTTGTTTGGAATTTCCAAACATCACTCGTACTATTAATCCCTAATTGTACTCGCCATCGCATGATTACCTATACTAATTATATAGTAATTAAGCTAATAGATATAAGATACTCACAATGCTATTGTTTGAGTCCACCATTTTGCATAGTTAACGACAGAGAAAAAAGGCTGAAAGAAAATAAATATAATTTTTACTTAGTTTAATTTAATTTATTTTATGAGCTCTGACACAGTATTAAGGTTACATTATACAAAGAACAATAATTCAGTAATTATATAGCATTACAAATTGTGACAGGAAATCACAACAGCTTTTGGCGAATTACTGTGATCCCAATCATCTTAATGCAAAATTACAAAATATAAGTACATTATTTGATGTAGTCTTCAAGAATACTGTATACGTTCCTATAATTACACCTTTTAATTTTTATAATTACACCACAATTTTTAATTTTATAATAATGTGAAAATACATTTACTTCCAAACAAATTATTTATTTGTCAAACAAAGCAGTTAAAGTTGTTTCACCATGCAAACATACAAATAATTTAATAATTTTACAGTCCAAATATTTCAAAAAATTCTGTCATAAGCTTTTCTTGGATTTGGTGGGCAATGGTGGCGGCCCTCAATAAGTGAACGGCCCTAAGGGAAGGGATGTTGCTTAATTTTTGGCGCCCTCTCAAATTATTCACCCTATCATGTTGGGGTCCTGGGGCAAGTAGCTGCCTGCAACTACCCAATCTCTTACCCAGAGTATGCCCGGTTAGGTGTCCTCTGTCTCAGCGACCCTGTGAGCGTAATTTTTCATGTTTGATTTAGCCTCGAATAAAAAATCACCGGTTATGTTTTGAGCGCATACTTTCCATAGCAAAAGACTTAAAAAGTGAGCTGCGGATTACAAACGTAATATAGTGAACTTACATCCAAGAGTCTTATGGAACTACTTGATTCTTCAGGAGTAGGTTCGCACGTCGCCTGAACATCAGTGAAATTATACCTAGAAAACGACAAACAAACTGTATAAGGTTTAAAAATAAGACTGACTCTCATTTTTGTACCGTTTCGTGGTAAATACAAACCTCATGTGATCGTGTTTTGTGATTGGCTTCATAAAACAATGGTATGATTTCTATATATAGTTCATTGTCTTTTATTGTTATGATCAACCAATCACAAAGCCCATACATATAGGTTAATTGGTGGCGAACCTCTTTATGCATATTGTATGCATATTGTAACGGACGGCATTCTCTTTTACAGTTTGCTGAAGAAGATTAATTTGTATAAATTATTTTTTAATTTTTAATTCTACAAGATTATTATAAACGGAAGGTCTTTTTTATTCTTTTCGCAACGTTTCGGGCAGTTTAACTGTTGTCAGTGAAACGTTGTCATGTTTTGTAGTTCATAGCCTGAAAACAGATATGAACTGCCCGAAACGCGAGAATAATAAAATATTTAATATATAATCCTCTAGAATTAAAAATTAAAAAATAATTTATACTATGCACGGAGGTGAGAGTTTTAAAAAGAAAATTAAATAATTTGTTTCTACGATGTAAAACATGATCGTGCAAGATATAGTAGCAGTTATTTTTCGAAACTGTGTATATTACTTGTCATGTGATGATATATTGTTTGAGTTTTCTCTAATGAACAATACTGACCATTGTACATCGTGCAATACAAGTAGATTTTTAAATTACTCGATAACTTACTTTTCATAAACACTCTGGTTAATTAAATCTCGCATGACGTTTCCTTCAACCGCACCAAAGAATTCACCATTCTGCATAGGAGGAAAATTGCAATAATAACTACAGGACACCCAGAGATTACATGCACATATTAATGGCTAATTAAGCGTTCAGTTTATACGTTGTCCGGGAAAGCAAGACAACTTTTTCCTCATTAAATTTTGGGTCTCTGAAATGTCATGCAATGAGGGTGCATTTGGAATAAAATGTAAAATGTCCTAAACAGGGTCAAACATTGATTTCAAAATTCTTGCCAAATTTAATTAAGTGAGAGACATAACCACATATAGAGCTTCACATTGGAACAACGTTCAGTAGGTTATATGAGCAGATAGTAGATGCGTGTAAGATATACCACAGGATATACGCAGCACTGCTGACAGCCTGACACTTCCAACCCCCTACACCCCCCCCCCCCCCCCCCCCCCCCCCCCCCCCCCCCCTTGGCGGCGGCACTGACTAAGTGCAAGATTTTATATTCTATTATGATGATGCCTGTAAGCTGATCTGTGTATACGTTTTGGAACCTGAATATCGGACAAATTGAAGAGGAATAAAAGGAAATTTACGAGACCCACCAAGGGTATAAAGGCCAGCTTGTTTTATTGTAATAAATTTCGCTGTACTTTTGACCCATAACACAAATTGCAATTTGCTGATCAGAGGCTGTCGTTTGTCGCTCTTTTTTAGATAGTCTGTCGCGGAATGTCGCCTGTCAGTCTCATTTACCCCAAGCACTTCTGTCCGACAATGAACTTTTTGTTTTATTATATCCTATACCTTTTCTTCCTTCTTTGAAGAAACTATGTAACCATTTTCATCCACCAAATAACAAAATGTACCCTAAAAATATTTCGATACGCAGATAATTCACGTATGTTATTTTGTCACATTTATATACATGGTATAGCATTCATTTTATATCACAAAATTTATTTACCTCATCAGTTTCACACTAAAAGAAGCGAAAACAAAAGCAAGTAGGTAAAATTATTGAGTTATCTTTCACTGAAATAATTATCAAAAAAAGAAAGCAAACAACTGAAATTCGTGCGTACCATGTTGTGGTTTTCGTTAACTATTTGTTTCAAATAAGTTGAGTTCATGTGAATTCCAACAACTAAATAAATACAGCGAAGAATAAAGATCTACAGTCTGGACAACAGGGCGGCGCAATCATCAGAGCAAACTCATTGTACCTCTGAGATCGTGGGTTTCTCGCTGCGGAGACATGACACTTATGTACTTTTACACTTATGTACTTTTAGTGAGTGAACATGAAGTACCTACTTTATGTGGACCTACACGAAATGTATTTTTTAAATTTGAACACAAAAAACCCAGAAGGAAGGTGGTATATTTTACGTTCAGGAATGTATATAAACAATGTATAACAAAGTTTATATGTTAGGGTAGGAATTAGGGCAGGGCTTAGGGTTGGGTTAGGTTAGGGTGGGGTCAGGGATAGGATAATGGAAATTGTTAGTGTATATTTCGTGTAGGGCTACATAAAATACATACCGGTTCAACCCTCTACCGAAGGTCGTGGGTTTTCTCAGGGTCGCGGGTTACTCCGGTTTAATTCATCCCACAGAAAATGTTGACAGGTGAGGTGGCATTAATCCCAAACCAATGTGTCATACGGCGGCAGCCAGAGGCGCCATTAGCCAGCATTCGACACGATCAGCTTGAGCTGTGTAATTCAGCTCAACTCTCAGCATATTTTTTAAACCTGTATACATAGGGGCGTTAAGGCCCGTTTACACTTGTAATTTTTGCTGCGATTTTCTAGTGATTTTCTTCTTCTGATGCATTTGAATGAGTGGATGAGGTATGAATGTTCTGAGCATATGTTCCTTCATCTCAACATCATAACTCAGCCACTCCTTCACATCCATCAGAAGAGGAAAATCGCACTAGAAATCACAGCAAAAGTTGCAAGTGTAAACGGGCCTTAAAATTGCTGCCCCGCTTCCATTTTGTGAGGTACAGAGAGAAGGTAATAGTTAAATAACTGAGAAGTGAAAACTCAGCTTTTCAGTCACTCTCTTTACCTATCTCATGACTAAGATACAGAATAGATATAGACTGCATACTCCTATCTCTTCTAAGAAAAATTGTTTTGTCTCCTCAAAATGGCATATTTATAGGGGCATTTTGACTCGTCCCAGTCTCTTGTGGCAAGGAATTTCGCGAGGTTGCAGGGAGACAATCTCGAAAACCGAGCCTGCAATCCTCTGTGGAGGCTTGCTTGGGCTCTGGGAAACACCGGCAACTTTTGCATGAAAATCAGTACATTTGGATCCAGTACTCCGCTCGACATTTATAAATAGACATTACTGCCGTCAAACATGAATTATGCCGTTCTTTAACCTTATTACGACTTTAATTCTTCAAAGAACACTTGCCATGGTTTTGAATTGTTGTAAGATACTGGTAGTGATTTATTTTAACTTGTTTAATTACGGTAAATCATGGATTGTTGTGTTATTTTAAATATTACAGGCAACGGCTTATCATGACCTTATATGGTAATGCTGCACTGTTGTTATTCTAAATTATGTTATTGGCATATCAATATCAGAATAGTCTATTGATTTCATACGAGAAGCTAGGGAAGCTTAATAAGTTTATTAAAGTTATGCGGTGTGTTTCATTGATATGTCTAAACATAATACACAAAGAGAAATAAACTTTATCTTTAATAATTAAACGATGTTTGAATCACTAAATAGACCCACAGTTTGAATAATAATTAGCACTTGAAAACAACCAATCAGAGCCTCCACAGAGGATTGCAGGTTCTGGTTTCGAAATTGGGAGTGAGATATCGTTTTTCCAACAAGGTTTTTAAAAAGGATTTAAAATTAAATCAAGACTTCAAATGGAAAAACGCACTCGGACTTTGAAATGTTTGCAAAGTCGTCCGACTCGTATTTGAAGCATTATACATAAATATATACAGTTTGTAATATTACCTCCCCAAAGTACGTTGTCTTTACCAACGACAGCTCTACTTGCATGCGCTAAAATAATAAGTGCAATAAATCCATAAGATAAACTAAAACGTACACAAAGACCTTAAATATTCTGTTACTACATGATTGTATTGTATAATAATGACAGTATGGTACATCTATATATATATTGGTCAGATAGGAACAGTCGTACTGTATTTATTTCTTAAAGGCACAGTTCAGCCTTTTGAATGATGATTTTTAAGGCGCATTTCATACCCTAATACTAACCCTAACCCTAACCTAACCTGACCTAACCTAACCCTAACTTATTTTAAAAATTGATATAAAAACGGAAACCTTATTTTGAAGTATACTATCTAGCAATTGCCATTGCAAGACGAACCTTTCATGAGTTTAAAGGCACAGTTCAGCATTTTAAATGATGGTTTTTAGGGCGCATTTCAGCCCTTTTAATTGAAAAAACTAACTAGGAAAATCAAATAAGCAATAATTCAAGATCAGCAAACTTAATGTTTTTAACATTTCAAAACATTTTTATTGTTAAAAACATTGAGTTTACTGATCTTGAATAATGTATAATTGATTTTCCTAGTTAGTTTTTTCAATTAAAAGGGCAGGGTTTAGTTTTGCGCGAGGATAGTTTTTTGTACGTTATAAAAGCCGAAACCTTAGTTTGAAGTATACTATCTAGCAATCACAGTCTTGCAATGATGTATACTGTACCTTCATTTTGACTTGCAGCAGAAAATATTATTGTTCGTTCTTTCCAACTGTCAGCTGCTCTCTCAAAGTACTCTTGCTTTATTGATGTACTGAATGTCGCATTCTCCCCGGCGGAGCTACAAAACAAACCATCGCAATTTAGTTCACGGAAACATTCTGCTAACAGGATCTCTGAGCGGTCCTCTCTTTTTTTTAAATAAATATTTGACGACATACGGTCCTTCACCCAAAGGTGTTTTTCAAGGAGGTCTTCTTTCGGAGATCTTCGTTACGTGCCAGTGTAGCAGATTTACTACTTGTTCACTTTAGTCTAACCCCAGACGATTCACTCGTCAGTGGGAGACCGCCAGAAATGCGTATGTTGGTATATAAATGATACAAAATGTTCAATGTTCAAATCAGTATGGCCGAAAATACATTTATAGACCTGAACAAGATCTCTGAGATGATCTCTTATCTTGATCTCTGATCAAGATCTCAAGATGTCTTCCCAACAATTTGATTATAAATATGGAAATATTTTCCGACAAATTTTGTTTCGATCAATAGAAGTTTTATTTTCTATATGTAAAGTGTTGAAATAAACAGACATGCAGAAATACACAAACCAAAACAGCAGGCTATCAGGTAAATCCAGGGTTAGCGCTAATCCAACTTTGAACAACAGGCTCCTGATGTTTTACTTACTTATAGAATGTCAGTCCTGATGTTGTTCCAAAGAAAATAGCTTGAACCTCAGATAAGCTAAGACAAAAAAATAACAGTATAAGTATTCGTAAGATTACGACTCTTCTAACTCAGGCTTACTTATTTCAGGAACCGCTACTTTTGGGACACACTAATTTGCAACATTACATCATAGATGGACAATTATATATGTTTAAGAACATAGTTTAGAATATCTGTATAATAGCACCGTATATATACATGGTCTTATCTTCAAGAGGAAAATCGAAATGATGTGACAACTTTCTTACTCTGTAATACCACAGAATAGGCCACATAAAAAAAATAGTTGGTTAGCGTCCTTAGCTTTTGCCAAAAAGTGGGCGGGCGCTTTTTCTTAAAATTTTTACGGCTAATTTTTAACTCCTTGGTTTTAGGTCCGAAACTGGATTTTCTTGCGCAGTACAGATATTTTTTATATATTTCAAAATATGATTCATACCGTCATTTTCGCACGCAATTTTGCAACTTAGGGACCGGTCATAAAGTAACTGGTAGGGTGGGCTGGAGTGATTTGGGATGGGCCATGGAAAATCTTTGGGCAGTTTCGATGGGCCGCCAATTTTTTTGTATGTCCACGGTTGGGCCACCAAACAAAAACCCATGCACGTGTCTACTTCAGAAAATAAAGATATTAATAATAAAAGTAAACAAAACTATCCACATTATCAAATGCAAATGATACTATTGAAGCCAGTACTTTAATTATACAACAACAAGAAGTGGTCGAATCACAGCAAATACAACCAACTGGAGAGCAGCTCAGTATCGTAATTGGTGATGAATGTGTTGGTCAAGCTTGGTGGAATTATGTGTGTCAATACAGTGTGCCGGTGTATATTTACAATGTTCATACCTGCAAGTTTTTTTTTATTATAAAAGTGTATTTTCCCAATTTAAATTGGGTGGGTCATAAAAATTTTTTGTAAGATTAGATGGGCTTTGAAATTTTTATCTACATCTTAGGATGGGTCACCAAACTTATTGGCAAAATTTGTGATTTACCTCCAGACCACACTAGCAGTTACTTTATGACCAGTCCCTTATTAAGTCTATTAACACAATTGACTACAGTCAACAGAAATACTACATATATTTGAGCCCGTTGATCAATAAAAGTTTGTTTTTTTTTTAAATAAAAAATAAAAAAAATCCTGAGCGGGCCCTTTTTTGTGGGCGGGCGAGGACGCTAACCAACTAATTTTTTTTATGTGGCCAAGAGGAGTGCAATTGTATTGGAAATTGAAATACAGTGCCAAAAAATGAAATACGTGGCAAGCGCCAAAACAAAAGACATTTTCACAGACAGTTTTGACTAATTTGACAGTTGAAAACTTATATTAATTAAGTTGTTGTCTCATAATTTTTTCATGTATATTATTAACTCTCTTCTAGTGCGGGAAAAGAGATTTGTATACACGGCTAAAAACGCACAGGTTGTTCCAAGTTGATATCGACAGGCGTGAACAATGCTGTGCGGCCAACTATGAACAAGTTGTCAACCATGTTGTTCCAAGTTGTTACAGTTGAACAATGCTGTAACAACATGTTGACAATACTGTTCATAGTGGGCCGCACAACCTTGTTCACGCCTGTTGATATCAATCTGGAACAAGTTGTTGATGTTCTCAATTTTGATGCGTGTATACTTAAGAAGGCTCTACGGAGGAGAGAGTATTATTAATAGGTACAGTAATAGGATGGTTTCTCGTGCAATTTGGACAAACAAATACTAGTGAGTTTTCTAAAAGCATTAATTTTCTCCACATTTCGAGTTTCAATATCAATGAAATAAATTATCTTTTGCTATCAGTTCTCTTTCTAGATATATGAAGATATTTGTACCTTGGTTTCTTTGGCATCCAACCAGTGTACTGGTTTCCCAACTTAGTGATGTCGTATTTAACAAGATTGGTCAAATCATCTGTACCTGTACCTACAGAAATACAAATACTTATACTGTAATATTATATCTAGACGTTTCAACTGTTTAACTGAAGTGAAATTAAGAGGGGATAAGTTAAATACTCCCCACCACAGTGTTTAAGATTAAAAAAATCATTAATAATTCATGAAGAAAACACAAAGAAAAATCATAAGCGTGTCGTATCTGTATATGTGATACAGATTCATGTTGATTTACATAAATTTTCTCAAACCGCGTTTTCAGGCCAGTACAGATGAAATTTCCTTATTTCTGGTATAACTTAATCGGCTAAAAATTTAATTCGATGCGGCCAAGTTCTTCTCAAACCGCGTTTTCAGGCCAGTACAGATGAAATTTCCTTATTTCTAGTATAACCTAATCGGCTCTGCACAATGTATCTTGCTAAGTCTCTTCACAATATACACCCAGTTAAATAAATTAGTTATAACAAAATATTTGTAAAAATAAATCGAACTTACACTTTGAATTTGTCAAACTCGTTTTTAATTCTTCCCAGTCGTTTATTGGTTTAGAACAATACGGCCTGAAAGTATTGTAAAAAAGTAAATGGTTATTTAAGTGTTATCTTAATTTAAATATATGAAGCCCGGCACACACTAGAGCTACGTGCTTAGCAAAATTTCACTCGTGACCTGTTGCGTAAACAAATTCCCCCAGTGTGTGGTGACGTTTTGAGAGTTTTTCTTCACGCGTACCATCGACGCCGAATATTCACCATGTCGAATCATTTGCACGAGTGACGATTTCCTCCAAGTGTGCGCACATTGAAAGCAAACATCTTACGATATTACACGAACATGCATGCGTATTCGGCAAACACACCACTACTCGCCACCATTTTGATTTGCGAGACGCAAGTGTAAGAGGTCTTCCTCAGAACGTAGAAAATGCCAGAGTTCATACCCCCGGACCCACGTATGGATTTTGTTAATCCACCCACCCTCCAAACCACACCACTCTCCGACCGCCCATCATGATTAGTGGGATAGTTTAAGCATAGCTTATCGAAGGGAAGATGGCTGTGAAACTCATCAGAATAACACTATAACTCATTATCTATGTTAGTCAACGTTTATTCACAACTCTGGTCCTTCACCGTCACGTGTGCATTGTATTTTTGCCCAACTAACCAATAGCAATGTTTTAGGAAAGTTACCTATCCTGTCTCGAACAATAGGGAAATTGGAAATTGCTATTGGTGGATTTGGCAAAAATACAATACACACGTGACGGCGAAGGACCAGATTTATGAATAAACGTTGACTAATATATCTAGATAATGAGTTATATTGTTATTCTAATGAGTTTCGCAGCCATCTTCCCTTCGATAGGCTATGGTTTAAGGTACAAATCACTGATTGTAAAATTCAGGACATAATATGGAAATTGGAAACGTCGCTCGAAACGTGGATGTTCTGCTTCTATTTTCCAGGTATAGTCGCATCTCTCGCAATCTGCAGTTATCTCAACATCACATGAACCATTTGACAATACTCACCATTTTTTTGCTATCGAGATGTTGACATTTCGCTCCTTTAATTGTTTTAACGCTGCTGTTATTGCTAGACAAACAAAGAAACAAACAAACTCTAAGTCTTAACTATTTTCATGAGCTTTTGTTTACCATGTCAGTTTACTGTGCATACGTGTATAAGGGTTGATCAATACAGCCGTGCTGATCATGAGCCGTACCAAATGCATAGGTTATGATAATAGTAAGTTTGCATATTTTTTATTGTTCTTGTTCCTCCGCGCGTGCGGAAAAATTAGCACCACGTGGGAATCATTTGAGAACATGGCTGCCAGTATCAAATGTAAAGGGAAACAAAATGCATTCAATGTGTATTAAAGTAAGGCATGGCAGTTCTTCTCATTAAGTGGCCATCACGACATTACGCAACAATTTTCTTCTTGTTGTGCTCTTCGCAAACTGGCGTCAAGCTTAGTTTGCAAGTTTTTAAGGAGGGGGGGGGGGGGTTAAAAAAAGCTGTTTGATCACGAGAAGTACGAAATCGTATGAGATTATAATTCAAAAGGACCGCAATACTTGTAGTTATGAACGTCACTCGCCCCAGGACTCGAAGGGTTGAAGCGCAGTTAATTAAGTACGGCTCATGAAAAACACACCTGTCTATCACGAAAAAGCGTCCCTTTTCCCCTCGATTCATATCCCCGCAAAAAATAGTTTTCGTTCTTTTAAACTCCAAAATAATACATAATCGTTAAGCCATAACAGGGCCTCGCTACTGCACGTCCTTGAAGAGGGCGAGCAATAGTAATAAAAGTTTAAAAACTCAATAATTCATGAGGAAAAGACAAAGAAATCACTACCATGTTGGTGGTTTCATATGTGATAAAAAGTCATGTTCATTTACATAAACTTTAGCTTTGATTTTCTCGGCTTAGTCAACGTTTATTTTTAAAACAACTTCGCCAATGAACTCATCAGATGGATCGTTTTTAAGCCATTTAAAACACGAGCAGGTGTGCTTTATCAGATATAAAACACGAGAGCGGAGCTCGAGTATATCTCATAAAGCACGGACTGCGAGTGTTTTAACTAGTACTTCAGACACTCATTAATAATTCATAAGCTTATTGGCAAATCATGTCAACCATAATATGTCACGTGCAGTGGCTTTAAACCTGATAAAACACTCCGAATTAGTATTCTTTATATAAAGAATACTAATAAGGCAGTATCTATTGTAGTCGTGTCCTCATTAGTATTTTTTTATATAAAGAACACTAATAAGGCAATATATCTATTGAATTTGTAGTCGTGTTTGAAGCCGTTTAATAAACTCGCAGCTCGTGTTTTATTAGGTCTAGAGCCACTCGCGCTGTGCGCTCGTGCTTTTAAACCTAATAAAACAGTCCTGCTCGTCTATTAAACAGTACTTTAAAGAAAATTAATTCAATGTTTAATCAATGTTTGTGAATTGGATAAAGTAAAGATTTGTCCTGATTTACATAAACTTCAGCTTTGATTTTCTCGGCTTAGACAATGTTTATTTTTAAAATTACTTCGCCAATGAACTCGTAAGATGGGTCATTTTTTATTAAGTACGATAAAACATTCGCATCCGATCTTTATCTGATCTACAAATCTCGCCTTCGGTTCGTGTTTGTATGTCAGATACAGATCGGCTGCTCATGTTTTAAAAACTTACCACCATCACCAACGCTTTCATCAATTAACTTTGACCCATAATCAGTCACAGCTGTGCCAACACTACAGAAAGACACGTGAACATGTGAAAAAAGTTGTAAAAGAGGACATCAGCGTTACTGACATTTCCCCCTATATATGCAGGGTTCGAAATAACTGTCTGACTCCCTGTCGATTCCAGGTGACTTTCACAAACGACACGAGGCATAAAAACTGCTATTATGATTATTTTCGGCACTCAATTGAACAAATGTTGAAGTGTAAATTTTATACATTTGTTTCGATCTAGGGAAGCCTCAAATGTCCATGAGAAACGTCAGATGGACGTTTCTCTGGAGTCGGCTATTGGCGTACCCTGGGTGCCAGAGCCTCCTGTGATAAAGGACACGACGAGAAGGCTCTGGTCACACGAGCATCCAGCCTCACTTTGGCGAGTTCAATATTTGAACTCTGTATGTGATTGGTCTAAATTTATGTGAGTCTTTTCATTGGTTAACCGATGAGCGTCGGTTAACCAATGAAAAGACTCACATAAATTTAAACCAATCACAAACAGAGTTCAAATATTGAACTCACCAAAGTGAGGCTGGATACTCGTGTGACCAGAGCCTCCTCGTCGTATCCTCACTTCTATCCGAAGAGGCTCTGGCACCCAGGGTACTATTGGCGATGCTTTCGCGAGGAATATGTCATCTTCTGCTAACATGTTTGTTTTTTTTAAATATGAACTTCAAAATTTCCAACGTTTTTCAAAACAGCTCCTTTTGCATGAAATATCGACAATTTTAGCGCGTTTTTCTTGAAATTTGAGTGTTTTAAATGCAAGGAAGCCGTAATAATATAAATGTATAGAACAGGTATGGCATTACGAATGTATAGACTGGTGTTTGTATAAAGTTGTTTTCTTTTTTATATTATGCGAAGATGATTCCGAAATGTTATAAGGCTCTCAGTTGAAAAAACTATCGAGTTTTTCCATGATATTTTACAGGGAAACGTCACACCCAAGATTTATTTCGAAGACAAGAACTTGGAAGATATCTGAGCTCTATCGACTGGTCCGTTCTCAATTTTGTTAATAAATGCGATGACAAACTAACACTGTTTCTTGACCGTGTTAAAATTGGCGTAGATACTATCATGCCACTCAAGTCTTTTAAATTACATGTTAACGATCCTCCCTGGGTAACTCCCGAATTTAAAAAAGCTGATCAAGTTACGCCAGAAAACCTACACACAAGGAGAACAAGAACGATCCGCCAACTTCGCAACGTCGTTAATCGTGAACGCAAAGTGCTCCGGAGCAGATATTACACCTCGAGGGTTGCGAACCTCATGAATGTTAAGCCAAGTCAGTGGTGGAACGAGATTAGCGAGCTTAAGCAAGTGACGTTCTCGACAACACGAACGGCATGAGTAACGTTAAAAGACTGGGTCAAGAATGTTGATTGGTTGATGACGTCAACTTGCTTAAGCCCGCTATTAATGATCCCAGCGACGCCAACCGAGGATATTCGCGCCCAACTTCATGTCGATGGACTTGATGGAAAGTCAAATAAGGATATTGCCGACCTTACAAACACAGCCCTTCTAGAACCGATGAAGGAATATCAATCACTTGACAGTATTCCTCCTGTTGATGATTCGGAAGTTCTAACGCTTGATGAGTCTTCAGTTTACTCAGCATTAGTAAGGTTAAACCCTCGAAAAGCCTCTGGTCCAGAAGGAGTACCGAACTGGCTCCTTAAAGATTATGTCGAGTTTCTCGTGAACCCAGTCTTTGTTATCCTGAACAGCTCATTTGCCAAACAACGTACGCCAATGTAACACCACTACCAAAGACGAAACCTTTGACTGTAATTACCACGCACATCAGACCTATCACGCTAACTCCGTCTCTATCAAAACTAGCTGAGGACTTTATCAGTTTATCGTAAGATATTATATTGGCCCTGCCGTCCTTGAGATCATTGATCCCAACCAATATGGCGCTATCCCAAAATCATCTACCACGCATGCCCTTATTTCCATGATTCATACATGGGCTTCTGCCACTGACGGGACAGGTGCAGCGGTAAGGATGGTGTTGCTAGACTACAGGAAAGCATTTGATCTCATCGATCACCCGATCCTAGTTAAAAAGATCCTGTCCCTGAATGTTCCACGTGGTGTAGTTCGTGGAAGCAGTTTCAATGACTGCTTCTCCGAATGGGGTGCAGTTCCATCTGGAGTTCCACAGGGTGCGAAATTAGGACCATGGTTACTTCTTCTGATGATCAATGACCTTAAACCATACGAAGAGCACTCGTGGAAGTACGTAGACGACACGACATTAGCCAAGGTTGTCCCAAGAAATAGCCAAAGCCAAGTGCAGAGTGCAGTGTCTGATGTAGAGAAATGGAGTAAAAACAACAAGCTCCAGTTGAACGAAGACTTTAAGAAAGTGAAACATCAGCTTAAGACCATCATCATCAATTCCAAAGAACTCGAGCTAGTCAGCAGTGCCAAGATATTGGGTGTCATTGTGTCTAACTCACTGGAATGGATTGACCATGTCAACTCTGTCGTGAAGAAAGCTAACAAACGTTTGTATTTCCTAATTTTGCTTAGGCGTGCAAGCATTCTTGCTGACCATATCCTAAAATTATATTGTACCTGCAATCCTGCATCCGACCAGTTCTCGAGTATTGTGCACCTGTATTCCACCACTCATTACCTGTATATTTATGTAGCGATCTTGAACGCATTCAAAAGCGAGCGCTTTCAATTATATCTCCTGGGTCATCTTATACGAACACGCATAATGTTAGTTCTCTCAAGACTGCAGGCGTCAGAAACTGTGTGAGAAACTTTTCAAGACAATAGTATCCAACTCAGATCACAAGCTTTATCAACTACTGCCACCCAAACACAATCCGACTTACAACCTGAGGAGAGAACGTGTATGATTGTCCTACTATATCTATATACTATCCTATTTGATTGTACTACTATATCTATATACTATCCTATTTGATTGTCCTACTATACGAACCAATCGTTTTAGAAACTCTTAAACCAATCGTTTTAGAAATAAGTCTAATTTGAACCTTAAAGATCGTAATGTACGTATGTATATATGTGTACTGTTAGTATTTGTATGTGTGTTTATGTATGTATTTATAGACTTTATAACCTACAGATAAATGAGTTAATTTACATGTTTTGTAAATTTTACGCAATTAGCTTTTCTCACGCCGCCATTTTTGGGTGGCATTTCAGCCGAAGTCTGCGAGATAAGTCCACATAACAGCGACTTTTTATAATTCTTTGGACAAATGATGGTAAATTTGCTTTGTAAATGGTTAATTTATTTTGAAAAATTGCTTTTCACATTGTTTTAATTGTCTGCATTGGTTAACGAGAATTGGATGCCACCCAAAAATGGCGGACATTCGTCATCGTGAGAAAGGCTAATTCAGCTACTTTGGGCTGCGATGTAAAATCTTATTAAATAATCTATCTATCTAAACAATCTATCTATCTTTTTATGCTTGAAAACTAAATGCGAGTTGCTTCCTAATACAGACAGCTTTGCAAGAAGTAGGAATGAAATGCCTAGATTCCAGTGCATAAAGAATTGCGCGCTTATATAACACTGAAGTTGTGCTTGTATTTTTAAGGTATTGGTATCCTTATCAACCCGCGGCTATCTTAACAAAAACCTTATACATACGCTTTTATCCTGAGATGGCCTGGACATTTACAGCTAATTCAATTAAGGTTGTCCTTCCAAAAACATACACCTTAAACTCTGAGTGCGCGAGGGATGATGGGTTATTGCTTATTTAAACTCAAAAACTTTGAAATTTGGCTTTGCAAGAATACATATAAGACATATAGAAGATTCACGACAGAAAACATACTTGCTGCAAAGGCAATTTTCTGAGTTTAACCGAATAGGTGAAAACCCATCATCCCTTGCGCGCTATGAGTTTAAGGTTTAAGGTCTTGGAAGGACAACCTTAATGGAATCAGCTGTATTCATTGGAACTTGGAGTGCATGTTATAAACGATTGTACATGTTGAATAATGGAGGAGACAGGTAAAAAATAGAGATAGGTAAAAAATAGAGAAAAGTGAAAAATTAGGAATGTTTCGAATATACAATGCACGTTGAATGTTGCTATAAAAAGTCAGATATATAATATGTGATCTTGAAGTGTGTGTGCCAGTGTAGGTAGTGCCAATTATATAAACAAGCTGTCGTTGGTAGGGATGTATCTGAAAAATATAAGAAGAAATTCAATGAATTGAAATTCTCCTAATATTTTCAGGTAGTTGCATCCCTATGCCAACGAAAGCTTGTAGATATATATGTAGTGTGTAATAATGTGCAAATGATGCATAGTTCAGCATCGCTGGTATTTCTTATATAAACATTTAAGAGTAATTGCATAGAGGAGCGACTAGCATGCTTCCTTGACCAATACTGTATACATGCATGCATGTAATTAATTCGAGTGCGCGTCTTCAAAAATAAAAATATAAAAACCTTCGGAGTCAGAGAACTATATTAGTTCTAGAACATGTCGAAACTTTCCGTTATAATATATGTGCGGGTAAATATTGACGTGACCAACTATACCTGAACGAAGTATCACTACTGATTTTCTTGTAAGAATACGAAAGCTTTCTCTTCACAATACGAAACTAAAGAAAAAATAACTGAATAAAAAACGTGTCCATCTCATTGGTCCAAAAGATTTGATAGCACAGTTAGCTCTTCCCATGATCAGCAATGACATCTAGACTAAATATCATGAATTTGGGTGTCTCACTCGATATAATTATCACTTATTTACTGAGACCGAGGGAAACAGTGTGTTTTGTGGACCCGTTGTTGCCCGAGGCAAAGCCGAGGGCAACAATGTCGGGTCGAGGGGCCACAAAACACACTGCTTTCCCGCGAGTTCTCGGTAAATAAATGTTTTGTTAATAGTATACATAAGTGTCAAAGTATGAATAATTCACCGGTTATTGGAGTGAACTTTGAAAACAAAACTGGATAAATGGAACGCCGTAAATGTTTAATAAAGAAAGTTTAACAAAACGAACTTTGGAACTTCGCGGTTGACGCGCACGCGCACTGCACACATTCTATTTATGTCTGGGTCTATAATTTCGTCATAATATTCTGAAACTAACTTCTTTTTTCCCGATGCTATAATGCACTGTATGACCTAATAATAGGCATGACAACTAAATTACCCAATTGTGATTGGCTAAGAGCAGTGCAATTGTGCCCAAAAAGAAATACCTGGCAAGCGTTCAAACAGAAGACATTTTAACACAAGTTTTGACTTCTGATAGTTGAAACTTGTTTTAAAGTTGTTGTGGCATTCAAATGAGTGAGTAACTTAATATTTCAATTTCGCATGTGTTTCATGCACGCAAGTGACTATAACGAGTTTGCTTATGCATACTGTCTTCATGTATATATTATTAACAAGTGATATTTTAAGTTCTTTGTATGTTTGCATGGCGATAAAATATAATAGTTTTGTTTGTGAAAACACCACGTAAATTTATTACTGCAAAGCTTTGATTCTGAAGATCCGGGCTTACGGATCGAAATCTTTGCAGTAATAAATTTACGTGGTGTTTCCACAAACAATTAAAACTATTAAGTGATATTTTATTTTCTTGAGCAATTTGGAAAAACATGCACTCATGAGTTGCACTGATCCACTGCACCTCCAGCAACAACGCGGCGTCTAATCGTAAAATAGACAACTTGCATGTTAGACTAATTTTTGATCTAGGCAAGAAAAAGTGAATTCCCGTAAAGAACTTATTAAAATTAGAAAATTGCAATATTTGATTACGAAATGTTGTAAAATACGGAAAATATAGCCTTGCAAAGTTTGTATATTTTGTATATGCTTGTATTACGTGCGGAAATTGTTACCATTTTTGAGCCGAAAATGGTAACAATTTCCGCACATAATACAAACATATACAAAATTTGCAAACTTTGCAAGACTATATTTTCCAAGCTTTGCAACATTTCGCAACCAAATTTTGCAAATTTACTAATTTCATTATGTTCTTTTCAGCTGTGTTTGATTCCCTTCTCTTTACTTAGATTAAAATTTAGTCTAACATGCAAGTTGTCCATTCTAATAAGTGCGTTAAAATACGCCGTAAAATATAAAATATCTAAAATTACATTACAACTTATTCTTTACCTTATTATTGTATTTGGCAAGGACTAAAAACTCTTGAAAATCTTTGTCTGCAAATGATGGTTCCTTCACTTCTCCGTTTATCATATCTTTCGCAAGCTATAATAATAATAAATGTTTTCATGTTGAACTGCATAGAGGAAAAATACACTGTAGAAGCATTCCAGATGTTTCTGTCGGCTTGAAAAATACCACTGAAACAAGAATTTGGACGCTGGGTGAAAAACCTTTCGTCAGAGTCAACAATTCTCGTAACTCTTCAACGAATCCCATTGTTCGACAATGAGCTATGAGTGCATAAAATCGCTTGGGATTTTTCATTTCATGCGACTCACAATTTCACTCAAGTTAATCATTGAATTGAGGTCAACTAAAACAACAAAGAAACGAAATGGGTGTCAACGCATCTTATGTAAATGAGCTCTGCGACTATTATTAAAAGTCCATATAAACCAATACGAACAATATAAAAGTTGTCCTTGACACAGATCCTCGACCCCCACGTGACGTCATATGAAACCCGAGAATATTATATGTTCCGTGCGAAAATCACGCAACCAGGCAAATTAAACCTGCGCATGAGTAAGGTTACATTGCTGTTAATACTTGATTAAATAAGAGTTGTGCAATTACCGTCTCAGTCTTGTCTGGGTTATCAAAGTGATGTAAGAGCTCAGATATATAAACATTGGCTGGATGCTTCAAGCCTGCTCCCTCCTAAATAAACAAGAAACTGTGATGACACACTAAAATGAAAACATTGCTTTACATGATTGAGAACACATCGTAAGAATTAAATATTTTCTACTAAGAAATATTGTTAAGCAATGGGAAAAAATTGAAATGAAAGAAACATTATTGCTTTTTAAATTTATATAATGCTGGGGTTTATAAATATTTCAAGGTAATATTTGTTTTCAATTAAATGTACGTTTTCTGGGGGTATGAAAATTACTGAGCCTAACCAAAAGAGATTCAAAATGGCGGGCGTTGAGGGGGGAGAAGAATGACTCTTAGAACCGCATTGGCTAGGAACATGGCGACAGCATTTTGATGACGAATCAAATCAATGGGAATCATAGTCATAGTGGTTACGCTTTTTGGCTGAGTCGACCTTCTGTATGTCTCTTTTCTGTGACTGGGGTGATTACACTGAGTGAAATGGTAGTAAGTTGTCTAAAAGTGACTTTCGAGTATTCTGTACTCTTTACAGCGTATACCCCACCTCTGTTTTCAACAATGGATGGTAGAAAACTAATCCGTTGTTTGTTATTATAAACGGATATCCACCAGATCCCAGCTACACAAAAACAAATAATCTTAGTTAACAGAAATACACTTTAACGATGAATAGGATGCGTTCACCCATTTACTGAAACATCATGTAACATGTACGTGATACTATAAGAGAATAAGAAGTTACGTCCGGTAGAACGTTAAATTTCTGGATATACATTCATGTCGCGCTGTTTATGCGTTAGGATCGGCGGTTAGAGTTAGCATTCATAAATAGCGAGACATGAATCCATAACCAAATTTCTTCATCATTTTAGTATTAAAGGATTAGTGTCACACCATGCTATTGCGGGCTCAACTTCCAGCTGGCGCCTATCATACGGGCCGAGCGGCATAGGCATAACATATATTTTGCTTACCCCCAGAACGTTTTCCTACCCCACCTAGAGAAATTTGCACGCCCTCTCCCCGAAATTTAAATAGAGAATAATACATGGGTGCGCGGAAATACCAGATTTATTTCGAGTGTTGAACATGATATCTCAAGAGTGGGAGCAGCGAACGAGTGAGATATCATGTTCAACACGAGATATAATCTGGTATTTCCAAGCATCCATGTATTTTTCTGTTTATTATATAAAGGACAGTCTTTGAAAAGCGATAATTTTTACAGAAAAGCGCTAATTGAAAAGCGATAATTTTCACATGTGAAATTATCATAAATATCTCACATGTGAGATTATCAGTTTTATCAGTGCTCGGAATCTCTATAAAGCACTATACTTTATATAATAAATGACAGTAATATGATTGAAATAAGGATTTTTTACCCTCATTAGCAACTGTGCCCCCAGACCCCTGCTGCAGGCTGCAGCATGTTCGATGGTGATATGCACAGTCTATGCCGAGTAGCTCAAGTAGATCTGAATACATTTTTGTAATCCGTCGTATATTTAAACTATATTCTTTAGAAATCCATGATTCTTTTATCTGATTCGTATTGGAAATGTACCAGACAAGGTATTTTTTATCGTAAAAATACGTCGTTATTTGTTGATTTTGGGTATAACAATAACAAATAATAAAGCAATAACAAAAGCCCGTGATATGGTGTGACACCAATCCTTTTTATTAAAAACAGTCATAAACATGCCAAATTGTTTTTGTCAAGCTGTAAAACCATAACATTGTTAGCTACTTGGTTGGTTTATGAACGGGAAGTACAACTTTTTCAAAAACTTCAAGGGAAAGTCTTATAAAGTTACTTACAAAAAGCGAAGCAACATTTACAATAATATAAAGATTGAGAAATTCTCACATGTGGCTCAGGAAAGTTAGATAGAATTTCGTCCAAGCGAACATCAGAGCCAAGCACACCAAGTTGTTTCTAAAAACAAATCATACGACAAATAAAAAACATGTATCAATACATTGTAGTGAGTCTAGTGACCACGTGTCCTCCGATATGGAAGGTATATTTTGAAATTGCTGTATCATGTAGGTAAATATCGATATATTTTTGCATCTCGTTCGAAGGAACTAGCTTTTGTAGTTTTCGAACGCAAATTTAAATACATGCTTTTACCGCGGAATAGCAGGAGAATGTATATAAATTTGCGTTCGAATCAGATGTCCAAAAATCTCGATATTCACCCATAAACTAACCCTATAGTCACAACTCTAACCCTACACAAACCCTATTTGTGCGCGAAACATGGGGGGTTAACCTGGGTTAACCCAAGAAAGAAAGAAAAAACCCACTCCATCCGTAACCTAGTAAAATACTTGTGTTCAATAATTTCCCGGAATTGCACGGGTTATGGTAGGTTAAGGGTCATTTTACATGCGTGAAATTACAAACCTATTATAGTAAGTTAGCTATTGGAATTGTTATAGATGTTGTACCCAATAGCATTTTTAGCGAGGTTCAGATTTGACTTTGCCCCATTAAGGGACCATTAACCAATCAGATGCGTTTAATATATCCGATTAACCAATCAGATGTGTCCTAAGCCAGTGAAAGGTAGTGGTAGGGGTAGTAAAATCTGAACCTCTCCATTGGCTTGCCACGTATACGGATCGCCTGAAAAAGCTTGATTGAACCGTGTTTTAAAACCACCAGAATATGCGAGTCCATATTACCTTGTTGTTTGTCTTATCGAAGATAGGAACTACAAGAGCAGATGTCATACCAAGTCCCTATTAACAAAAATAACAAATACTGTTACACACCATGTAATTGTTATAAAATGTATAAATAATTACTAGTTGAATAACAACCAACACTTATGTCAATGCAGTCTGACATAGGCGTACGGAGGCTGATGCTTGTCGCAGTTGAAAGTTTGTCCGAATTTTTGTGGAGAATTGTAATGAAACAACCAGGATTTAACATATTTTCTGATAAATCTGCCCGAATTTTAAGAACATGTTGAAAACACTTGATAGTATACTACCACACCAAAACGTAGGAATACCACTACAGCCTTTTCACAAAAATTAGAAATTGCAGATGTGTTAAACATAGGTAAGTATCATTCAGGTTTGGGATAGTCAAAATGGAAATTGTAATGTCAACAAACCAGCGCGTCCAAATAAAGTGGTGTCCACTTAGGTTTGCTACTTCTTGAACGACTTAAAACAGTGAGATATTTCTAAAAAGAAATCAAATGTCATTCACTATAGATACTACTGAAAGAAAAATGCAGTCGGGTCCAATGTATGGGTTAACTTTTATTAAAGGGAAATGGCAATATATTTTTTTTACTTTCTCATTTGAAAGAACTTTAAGACTATATATAATATTCTTTTCCCGGTCTTTTCATATCTTGCATGCTTACTTCCACAAATATTTTGATTGAAAGGATTTTGTAGATATGCATGTCACAACACAACACAACACAACACAACACAACACAACACAACACAACACAACACAACACAACACAACACACGCAATATTCTTATCTAGACAAACACTAATCATTTTGCACTCAAAACTATACTCTGTCTGCCCTTCGAAATATCAAGATCACTCAAAACCTTTAAAACATCTACCAATCAATATTTGGAGAGAAACGAATACTTTTAAATGGTTAATCCCTGTTGTGACGTCACCAAAACCGTTAATGAGATAAAAAATGTTTCCAAGATGGCGGACATCTCATTACTTCAAGTGAAAATATTTCAAGAACCAAGCAAGATACGTAAAATCGGTAAAAGAAGTTAATACATAGTTTCAAAAGTTCTTTCAAATGAGAAAATAAAAATTTATATTGCCATTTCCCTATAAGTCAAGAAATAATCAAGTCCGGCCAGAGGTATATCGTTATATATATGTTATTATTGTTATAGATATATGCATGTTATAGATATAAAGTACTCTACATTTACCCAATATTAAGTACTCAGGCAGGCAGACGTAATACCACCTGCATGGGCGTTGGCGGATTAACCTTAAATATATTAGGCCTTAATTCCCACGCGGACGAGCAAAACTGTCTGGTGTTATGTAGTATATATTTACTTACCACCATGGTTTGACGAACATCACTTAACGTCTCAATTCTGTAAAAAAATCCTGAAAAGAGGATCAAACACGTTCACTATATGTTTGTGATGTTTGTGATGTTACTCGAGTGTGTCCACCGCGGTGTTGACACACTCATGTGCTGGTGCAGCAACATCACAAACATATAACTTCAGGGTGGTATTGACTGGTATTCCAATGATTATTGCCTCGTACCAGGGACCTAGGCAGGACTAGCAGTCTAAAAGTGCTAGACCAGTCCTGCCCCCCCTCCAAAAGTCCAAAAGTGCTAGATCAGTTCTGCCCACCCACCCCCCAAAAAAAAAAAATATTGCGTTTCTAAAATCTTCATCTTCTAAAAACGTGATTCTTAGCAGTCAAAAGAACACGTGTAAAACTGCACTAAAACTGAAGAACAGCATGTTTGACCTCACTAACATAATCGCTGAAGTTTTTGTTACATATAGGGATTTGTAACTTGTTTGCTTGTGGTCTCATGTGCAGGGATATGCAGTGACTGTTGAATGTAATGTTATAACAAAAGATTGTGCGGTTGTATTAATTACTAAAGACAAGATACTGGAGTTTTAACATTTGTTTGCCCGTCCACATTAAAAAATACACGTCCAAGGTCATGCCTCGTACAAACTTAATAAGACTCAAGGTGTACTTAAGAAGTACATAAAGTACAGGTTTCTGAAAGTAAGCTAAAACTAAAGTTATAGATTAAGTAGTACAATTGGATACACATGTAAACACCACAATCGACTCCAATTTCTTAGTCCCATTTGATCACATCAGTCCTGTCAGACTTGCACATATTCCGAATAAATTATGGTTTTGAATAACTTAAGCTTGGAAAGTCATATGGTACTAACAAAAAATAAGTATGCAGATAGCAAGAGTTCCGCGTACCTACGTGGTACGTGGCTAAAATCAAAGAAGTACCAGACCGTAATATTATAGAGCTTCAGATTTGAGTTATGATTGGTTACTCGAATATATCAAACGCATCTGATTGGCTGATGGTCCCTTAATGGTAGCGGTAGTCAAATCTGAACCTCTATATTGGCGTGCACATCTGGTACGTAAATTATCGCACCCTGATAATGATATATTTACCTGAGTGCACAACACCAGAAACAAGACGTAAACTATATCTTATTCTAATAATTCGCTGATTCCACAAGGCTAACTTGCTCTCTAGCAGAGGCTGGGGTTTTATACTTACCTCTGTTATTACACGCAATCCACTTTAGTGCCTCAAAAGGACTTCCATTTTCACGTCCAACCAAGTAAGTGAATACTCGAACCTTAAGTAGATAATTCCAGTAAGAAAAACTATAGTTAGCTGACTGAACACGGCCACTCATCGTAAAACAAGATATTGCAGTTAGTCAGGTTGTCCATCTAACAACAATAAAACGTGTGCTTACTTCCTTGTTACCATTATACTGCTTAAAAACATCTTCAGCAACTGTGTCACCTTCAACGCCATCACTGAAGAATGCAATGGTCTGAGTGCATTTGGAGGTTCTGTTTTCTGTGTTCGGTTTACGTGCGTTCTGAAGAAAAAGATATATTATAAAAAATAAACTTTTATGTGACTAGTTCGATTTATAGATTTGAAGGATCATCCGTCAACGAGCATCATTGGTCTGATGGATCATCTGCCTTAGAAGAGACAACTATTGAAGCGAGCTAGTTACAACAGCGCGATCAATACCGCGATAAGGGTCCCGGAACAAACCACGCAATCTTGATTTTGGTTATAAATTCATGTCTCGCTGTTTATGAATGCTGAGCCCTATTATCCTTACCCTGACTCTAACCCTAACCGCTGACCCTAACTCATGAACAGCGAGACATGAATTTATCCTTGATTTTGTTAAAAATATTCGCTAACAACAAGTGATGAGGTATTGGGGCTCATCCAAAGTCCTCATTCATAGACATATCCGGGACGTTTGTAAAGAGTTAGCCTGCAAAGCAGGCGTTCGCGGGCTGAAAAGCCCAGTGGATATGGCCCGCGTGTCTGTCGTATTTATAGACAGACGAACCAACTACCCTTACTAAAATCTTTACTCAAGTTCATCCAGACTAACCTCCGCGTGACTGTACAGGGTGTATCAAAAAAGGTAAATATATTACGTTTATCTACTTTTTTCATGCCAATAAACATCAGGCTTTTACCTGTCGAATGATACCTTTCCTGTATCATTGCGATCTAAAACAACCAAATACGCTCCGAGTTAAAAATGCCACTCGAAATCACATTTTTCTACCGTTGGGAATTGCACGTAAACCTCTTATCTCTGAGTATAGAAATCTCACTTGGGATTCAAATTTACGTCGCTTGAATACAGATGGCGCAACGCATGTGTAAGCATCAAGTTTTACTAAATTGCCACTCGCAATTTTGCAACGAAATTGAGTGGTTAAAATATTTTACAGAACTGGCGATGCCATACGTTTCCCAAATGGGCAACAGGCATTTGGGCAAATGTTCGAGAAATTGGAACTTGGAAGAATCGGAATGGGAAGAATTTAAATCCTAAAGGTGGAAAAATGCTATTTCAACCGACCACTTTAAATCAGATCGTATTTGGTCATTTTTCATCGGAAAGATTCCATAAAGCATATTAACTATGCATAAAGGTATCGTTTGACAGCTAAAAGCCCGATCTTTACAAATACGAAAACAGAAAACGTATAAACGTAATACATACGATAACCTGTCAGGGTTGGATTACCTTTTTTGGATATACATGCACTGTGTATAAATCGGACCAAAACAGTATGTGTCAATATCTAGATGTTCGCTGTCTTCCCTTGTCGAACCCGAAATGCACCACACGCGGGAACTGGAAAACAGCGCCATTAAAATGTTGGAACCTTACCTCGAGGGTTTGAAACGCCAGCTTAAAACCTTTATCAACGTTAGCGACATTTTTCCCGTCAACAGAGTCACTCTTAATAGCAGCTTTCAGAATCTGAAAATAACCCATTGTAAAATTTGTCTAAAATTTAATTATTGCATCTTTTAAACATTCCATAAATCATAAACATATCATGCATATATTGAATTTACTTGCACTCAGTTTCCACAAATTTAAATAGAATTACCCTAATGAAGTGTCTCTTATCCAAATCTCTCACCTAATCTCAAACACTAACATATACCGTAAATCCTGTATTAAGCCCCCCCCCTCTTTCTCCAATTATCTCCTTCCCCTATTTAGAGGGACGAAATTCTAAGCCTCTCTATTGAGCCCCAATCCACAAATAATTAAGAACATGATTAAACCTATGAATCATGAGCCTTGAAATTCACCTTAGTAAACCGCACTTCCCCCAATAAGCACTCCCCCTAAAGTGGCTAAAATAAATAAGCACCCCAGAGGCTTAATAGAGCATTTACGGCATAAAATATGGCAAAATTGTGAACCAATGTGATTGTAGCAATGGTTATATAAACACATCCAAGACCTTATCTAGCCGTACCTTCTTGTTTCTCTCTGTTGCTTGAACCAAATGATCCCAACAATTCTTTAAATAGTGTGCGTTTTTATTGAACTAAACAACAAACATTTATCCAGTAATATAAGTTCACACTTCACATATACTGTATATCTTTAAATGAAAGTACAAGTCTTCTATAGCTGACAAAATGTGTAACAAAGCTGTAACAACGATATTACAAGCACTAAAGCCAAAACAAGTTATTCTTTAAGCACATTTGCAATGTTTTAAGAATCCTGGCAAAAATTATAGTGGACTATATCTATTCAAAAACAGCAATTTTCAACTTCTCCCACGCCCAGTGTTTTTGCCATTATTGGAGATTTGCAGCGGGTTAAAATATGTTGGCAATCTATATCGCTGAGCCAGGGTGCGATAATTCGGTACGCCAATAATACGGTCTGGTACCTCTTTGTTTTTGACCAAGTACCATGTTTCTGAAAGGTATTCACTCAGTAACCTGAAACTACGAGTTAGAACGTACGAGTTTTAACTTAAAACGTTTAAACTTTTTGACTTTTACAGGTACACTACGTCAAGCGTTCCTTTTTTAGTTGATTGCAATTTTCCGCATTACCTTTGCAAATATGAAAAACCCCCTTGCAAATCCCTTGAGGGAATTTGCAATGTTCCTAAAAGCCATTAAATTTTCCTCAATTCCTGTTAGAAGTTCTTCACTTCCTGTTACAAGTTCCTAACTTCCTGTTCTTTTACGTGCATTGTAATTGGCTAACAAAAATAATCCACCAATGACAACGCTCAGAACAGAACAGAATAGAACAGAACAGGAAGTCAGGAAATTAAAACAGGAAGTTACGAAAATTTGAAAGGAAGTTTCTCTGCATTGGAATACCGCAACAGCCGATAGGAACATTGCAAATTCCCTCAAGGGATTTGCAAGTGAGTTAATCAAATTTGCAAAGGTAATGAGGAAAATTGCAATCAAGTTAGGAACTCAAAAGAGGAACGCTTGACGTAGTTTTCCTGTAATTACAATTACGGATTTTAATACTTTGGACTTGGTAAGGTCATATGGTACCAGCAAAATGTGAGTACGCAGATAGTACGCAGATAGCGCGAGGTCCGATCACCTACGATGTGATGTACTTTATTTTAAAGACTTTATATAAGTACACCTTCAGTCTTAAGTTTGTACCAGCTCAAGTACAATGCAATAATCATTGGAGTACCAGTCAGGTACGACTAAAAATCTTGAATTATCACACCCTGCGCTGCCCAATATTTCAAGAAATGTCCGCTAGTGATCCACTAAAACCATGTGCCATTAAAGGCGCTGTTACACTATGCAACTTGTCTTGCAACTTTGTTGCAGCAAGCGTTCCACGAAGTAGAATCAGGTTCTACTTTTCGCAACGTTTCCTGCAACAAAAATGTTGCGAGACTTGATGATTGCGATGTATGTTACACCTTGCAATTTTCTTGTAATGTATGCGTTAACCTTGCAATTGCGACACAAGTCGCAAGAAAAGTTGCATATAGTGTAAGTGTAACAGCGCCTTAAATTACACGCATCTGAAAACTTTTCTTAACAGGAGACTTGGACAAGTTTTAATAACATGGTCGTAATTTAGCTGACGCCTTGTTGCCCTTTAATTAATTACACTCACACTTAGCAATAACTCGAAATAATGTATTTCTCACTTACACAAATGATAGAAACAAAATCGTTTTCTTGCAAGGTATCCAGTAATTTCAAAATAGCTGACTTGATAATCAACAAGCGATTGCCAATAACACTGCCACTCCTAAATCGGGAAAATAGTGCATCTGTATAACACTATACAACATAACATAACATAACACAATGCATCACACAACACAACACAACACAACACAACACAACACAACACAATACAACACAACACAACACGAAAACGACAAGATACAGCACAAGACAACACAACACAACACAACACAAGGATATAATAATATAAAGTATATAATATATATCACACTACAGTATAAGGTAGAACAATGAAGTAAAATATGATAATGTATAGTACAACCCTTACAAAATTACACTTTTTCAAGTATTGATGAAAAATCGGCGAAATATTGTGAATATCATATAATTAATGAAATTATGAAATGTGCATTTATTTTCGCATCTTAAATTTCGAATTCCATACATGATTTCATATGTGCAAGGGAATACAGTTGTCCCATAGAATGCATGAATTGCGCCACAATACAGTATACCATGCATACATACGAAAGAATTTAATTAGCGAATCCAGGTCATTAAAAGATGATCTGTTTTATGACTTGTAAAGATTACTAACAACACAAACACAAATATATTAGCTACGATATACAAACTGCAATGCGCTCAAAAAAGTCCTATATACTTGATTATTTTACTCTGTCTAACCTCAGACGGTTCTATATACGCGTCACAGGGAGTCAGAGTCTTCCGCATGCATTAATGAGTAAAGCTACTGTATACGTTTACACGCTGCGATTTGTCGTGTACGATTCGTCTTCTATAGCGTATATGTGATCGAATAAGCACCATTGAACTATAAGTGAACTAAATAAGTTTATTTATAGTTCAATAATAAGTTTATTTATAGTTCAATGATAAGCACGCGTAAAGTGGTTGCATTTCAAATTTCGCCATAATCTGAATGAAGAGGAATAATGTGGCGTCAGCATTCATACGCCAGAATATGAATCGTATACACGGCAAATCGCAGCGTGTAAACGTACCTAAGCAAATGCATGCTTTAATAGGTTAGGGAAACTATTTATACTTACAGATCGAGAATAATGACCATGTCTTTGGGTGAACTTGATCCTTCAATATACCTTTAAAAGAAATAACACAGAATTCTAATCTAACACAAAATGCTAGTGTAAAGTGTATTTTCATGTAAGTACATTTGTGTTTTCGGGCGATTGGGATCATAGAGAAAAAAATACGTGTAAATGTGAACAAAAAAAAATGCATACAATAATACGAAAACATCAAATATCACATATGACGTTAACATTGTAGCATTGTCCAGTAATTAAATTTTTGCATTTAAAATAATTTCAAATATTTTTCCCAATGAAAATGAATCTTCAAAGTGATCATGATTTTGTTTTTAATAATACAAATTAAATATTATTAATTTATAATTAGCTATAGCAGTAATCTTTCGTAATTTCAATTCTATAGAATAAGGTTTATTAGTATAATTACATAGGTGATTATTGAAAATTCTCCACGCTGGTTGGTTGCCGTCGAGGTGATTATAGCGCGATAATCACCTAAGCGATTTTCGAAATGGCGGCCGAAGCCGTTTTGTCAATTATATGACGAAGAAATGTGTATTTTCCCCCCCAAATAATCACCTATGAAGTTGTACTAAAATAATTATTCACCTCAGGCTCGGTGATTATCGTGAACGAAAACCTCGACTTCGTCTCGGTTTTTATTTACCGATAATTGCCTCGCCTTCGGCGAATAATTGTTAAATATGTATTTTTTTAACCTTCGTGTGTTATCTTAATCTTATAGAATTGAAATTAGAAAAAAATTAAAATTTGACGGAGGTGAATGTTTTTGACCATTTTTCTATGCAATTTCCGGTCGTGAAATGTATAACGAAAACAAAACAAAAAAACAAAAAATGTTATCCTATTTTTCTCTCATGTCGAACAGAGTGGACTTTCGTCGACGCTGCATAAAAATAGTGCGGGCTCGTGAGCTTTTTCCCGCAAATTTTGCTTTTCGATGTTTGGCTTACAATTTCTAAGGATGTTGAAGTTTACAGCATTGTGATTCACTGGTTTTTGAAAGCATCTGGGCTTTTTTGTTGGAAGTTCTAGGCTAACTCTTCAACAACCTAATGACTGTTTTTAAAGCAAAGCAATTAGGCCTACTCTGGGACCTTAACTCGCCTTAACTCGCCTTAACTCGCCCTAACTCGCCTTATCTCGCCCTATCTCGCAATAGAAATTGATCGAATTTTGCTTAACTCGCCCAATCTCGCCTTATCTCGCAATGAGAAGTTGACAGAATTTTGCTTAACTCGCCCTATTTTGCAATAAAACCCGGCACAGTTTCACGTCAGTAAAACACAAATACTGTCAATCAAAATTCTCACAATACTCACTTATATATTCTATGAGTTTGGCATTGCAACTGAGATCAACATACAAGTATGTAAGCCTGATTATCTGAAATGTTATCATATTTTTAATTTACTACATTCTCTGTAATGCCATAAAGCTGTGTTGATCAAATAATTCCACCAACTTCTCTACTTTAATACAGTAAGCAGGCCTTAGCAGGCATATACAGTAATACCCAGTATTTAATAAATCACAGTGAAAATAATTGAACATAATAACAGAACCCAAACTGCCAAGTATGGTTGAAAATTAATATTCCCATATATACTAATATACAGATTACTTATCTATTCTATTTCAACTATACAATGATATCAAAACATCAAAAGTACTTGCTTAGCTTTTATACAGCTATCACATGACTATCAAATTTTACTAAAATACTGTTATACTTATAGTATAAAGGTCTCTGTGATATCAACAGCTCAAACTGCAAAGTTATTCGTTGAACTGTTTTTATATATAACCGGCAACAGAGCTACTGAACCAACGATACGCGCAGAATTTTAGGAGAAATATTTTATTAAATACACAATCACATTCACAAAATTCGTGAAAATATAGATTTACAGTAAAAGCAAAGTTAAAGGTAAATATTGTAGTAAACATACCGTGCTTGCCTGTGTGTGACCAACATTAAATTTAGTAGAAACAATCTGTAGTGACAAGGCTTTTTGAATCTCATTTTAATATCATATATAATACATGAATAACATGATAAAAAACTTTAAAATGTCGATGCATATCCCGAACTAAAATATATAAGAATATATATAACTAATATATTTTAGTTCAATGCTCCCCCCCCCGACCACAGAGGAATTACCGCGATGATGGGAAGGAAGATTCCGTTTACCAGGGGGGCGGGATGCTGTCTGGGAACAGATATTGAAAATATTGCTCCCTTCAGCGGAAAAATTACAATCTGCTTGCAATACTTAGTGTTAGTGTTAATGAGAGGCAGTGAATTCTGAATATAAAAGCTTGATAGGAAATAGGAATATATTAAACAATAATACAGTTTTATACAGAGGAATCATTGTCATTTACATTCATTTACGTTTCCAAAGCAAATAAGTTGGGCATTAATTTTAGTATTATGACCGTTGGTTATCATTTAATATTATACCTCAAATTCAAATTGTCCAATCAGGAAGCTTAGTTTGTGCCACGTGAGCATGAAATTAATCGCGATATCACGCCTTACGTCATCAATTAGCGAGCCAGCGTTCCTTTTGACAATGTTCCACTCCATGTTCCCCGGGGAACATGGGGTGGAACATTTTTCGCGTAGAACCGCGCGAGACAACACGCATGACAAAAACATGGCCGACAAGATATAAATAGTATTGATGAGTGATGAATAATCAAATTTTAAACGTAAAACTTGGGGCTTTTTCAAAATTTTGAAGCAAATTTTGAAAAATGTTGTCATTAATATTCCAAACGATATGTGATTCGAAAGAAAATCGACGAATACTTGCGTTAATCCGAAAATAAAACATCGTATTCACGAAGGTATGTGTCAAGTTTTTAATTCTCAACTTGGAGGCTTTTAATTTTCGGTATAATATATCATTTATAGACCCTCCGCTTGGGGGATTCGGCGAAATATTACCCTCAATGATGATATTTCCCTCGGGGCAAAGCCCCTCGGGAAATATCATCACTTCGGGTAATATTTCGCCGAATCCCCCTCGCTCCAGGTCTATAAATGATAAATATGCCATTGTGGTTCGAAATTTCGTTAATTAAAATTAAAATAGTTATTAAATTAAAGTGTTAAATTTAATATAGTAAATAATCTATAATTTCCTAGCAAGCTTTTTAGTTTCTCTTTGTTTCATATCAATGTTTATATTAAATTAAATTAAAAATTGAATACAAGGACTGCTGCTTGCAAACAAATTCGAATCTAATTGATAATTTCATGACACAGGCGGCCCAATCTCAGAATGAATGATCAGGTGTTGCGGGTTTTTAACGGTTTTTATAAACAAATTTATAGTCAACCAAAACTATTTTAAAAACATTCTTAAATTAGTCAAATAAATACATTTTAACAATAAAATATAGTTGACATGATAGTATAATACCTTTGCATTCTTTTAATTACTCCATGAGCTCATTTAGAGCGGTTGATGTATCATTTTCTATGGCCTACATTGTGTGTGCTCATTATATATACTATAACAGTAAAAGGCTAATCACTGGCGGCACGACCGCATCGCCTTCAAAGTAAAATATCTCCGCTCAAATTTGTCGTACGCCAAAACAAATTCGATTACATCTTTTCACAAAGATTTCTCTTTCTAAATATTATGGTTTGACCATATAGCTTGGGCAAATTTCTACTCAATTTCGGATACTGTTCAAAATGCTTAGGGCTGCTCGGGCACGATCGTGGACGTGACGTAATCAATACATACTGACAATAACGCCTTACCCGGGGTGAGATAGCATATCAAATTCGACGATAGTTTGTCGCTTTATGCTGTCCCACCCCACGTAAGGCGGTAAGGCGTTATTGTCAGTATGTATTGATTACGTCACGTCCACGATCGTGCCCGAGCAGCCCTAAGTATTTTGAACAGCATCCGAAATTGAGGAGATTTTGGTTCCGTTCGTCGCTAAATTTGCCCAAGCTACGATCAAACCATATTATTTAGAAAGAGAAATCTTTGTGAAAAGATGTAATCGAATTTGTTTTGGCGTACGAAAAGTTTTAGTGGAGATATTTGACTTTGAAGGCGATGCGGTCGTGGTGCCAGTGATTAGCCTTTTACTGTTATATTATATATAGATGAGCACACACAATGTAGGCCACAGAAAATGTTACATCAACCGCTCTAAATGAGCTCATGGAGTAATTAAAAGAATGCAAAGGTATTATACTATCATGTCAACTATATTTTATTGTTAAAATGTATTTATTTGACTAATTTAAGAATGTTTTTAAAATAGTTTTGGTTGACTATAAATTTGTTTATAAAAACCGTTAAAAACCCGCAACACCTGATCATTCATTCTGAGATTGGGCCGCCTGTGTGGTGACAATAACATTTGTGTGGTTAATCTGGTTGAAGCAGAGAATTTAATTGATCTCCTGATAAAAGGCATGTTTTCTTGGAGTTGTAGAGTTGCCAATTGTATTGAACCAAAGCTATTAGACAGCTAGGGTACAATTACAGCATTTTTTCAAGATATTATTTCAGTATATACTATAATATGCAACTGACAAATAAAGTATTTCAGTAAAATATTGAACCAAAGCTATTAGACAGGGTACAATTGCAGCTTTTTTTTCAAGATATTATTTCAGTATTTTCTATAAGATGCAACTGACAAATGAAGTATTTCAGTAAAATATTTACCCTAAAATTATTAGTGACTTGTGTGCCGTGACTAATATTTTGTTACAGCTTTGGTTCAAATTTCATAAATCATGAACCGATGTACAGTAACTGCAAATGTAAACAAATAGGTGAACGCACACCCAGTATACAGACTGTTATTTGCCTTTAAGACTCCTAGGTCACATATCACTGATATAAGATTCGTAGTAAATTTGTTGTTTCAAGATCACTGTATATTATTTCTCAGGATTGGTAGCCCCCCCCCCCCTTCCAGACAAACAGAAATATAGATGATCCATCCCAAAAAATAAATATGAAATTAACTCACACA